GGGCGAGCGTTTATATTCGCCACCTGATGGGTTTCATACGGTTTACTTGGCGTATGTGACGTGTTCTTCTCAGATCACTCTGCATCTGACTTTGTTGAAGATTTGTGATGAATTTAAGACAGGGTATAGTCAGCTATCTCCGACGGTGCTTCTTATGTTTGAGGCGTTTTACCATAGAATGTCGCTAATAGGTTTGCCTAGTAGTGTGAATTTGTTCAAGGCGTTGTTTACGTTGCATCGACCGAATCAGTTGCCCTTCTTTTGCGTTCATCCGCGGGTTTCCTACAAGTTTTTGAAGAGTGTGAAGTTGTCATTGAGGGATTGGAAGTCCCGATTCTTTTATCTGAAGGCTCCATCTTTTGACATCCCCTAATTTGGAACCCTACGTGTGAGAGTTTCAAAATTACCAAGAATATGGTGAAGAGGATTGAAGAATCTAGGTTGTGCGATGTGGAATTTGAACCGAGGCGTTTGATACCGGATGGTCAGCGCCGTATATCCTTTTGTCGTCATCGAAACAATTTTTTCTTTGTGGATGTGTCGTTCTTCGGTTTTATTTATCTGTTGTCTCTTTTTCTTGTAGATGATTGTATTGACTTTGCGGCGCTTCGAGCTAAGGCGAATGGGACTTCGAAGAAGGCATTGAAGAAGGTTCCCTCGAATTTGTGAGATTCTTCGGGTAGCCTGCCTCGAGAGGCGGTTCGTGTTGAGACTCCTCGAGTGAGTGAAGATGATCGTAGCTGAACTGGTCAAGTAGAGGTGCGTGAACCCGTGAAAGATCGTGGAAAGGGAAAGAGAGTGGACACCGAGTATGTGGCCGCGCCAAAGCGTCCGGGGGTAGATCCGGAGGTGCCTTATGCATTCCATGGAGGGGCCGTGGTTTGCCGATGATGAGTACCGAGGGCTTCGTTCGGGACTACGATCGTGCTCGGATGTCCGGTAAGGGTTATTCTCACATGCTTGAGTTGGCTGGTGGGGACTCATGTCGGGTGAGTGTTTGCTTTTAAAACAAGATTTTATGTTTATTTCCCTATTTTCTTGTGTAACCAATTTTAATTGTATTCATATAGTTGGAAGCTACCTCATGGAGCAAGATGGGAAAGTGGAGTCGAGGAAAGAAGAGGAGCGGGCTCGAAGTCAAGCGCATGAGGATGAACTTCGAAGCCAGTTGGAGATAGCACAGTCCGAACTCGCTCAACGGACGAATGAGCTTGCTCAGAGGACGGAGGAGCTTGAGGTTAGCCGATGTCAAGCGAAGGCTTATAAGGATGATGTTGAGAAGTTGGACAAGTGCTATGATCAGCTGAAAGCAAAATATGAGGCCGAGAAAGCAACGGGAAAGAGGTTTGTCGCTACGTCGGGGAGTGCTGCTTATAAGGAGTACATCGTGGAGGAAACTAAACGTAGCTTTAGAGGTAGTGCAGATTGTCGTGCTATGATTGAGGAACGCGCTTTGGCTGCAGTCTATAAGCCATTAGTTCGGACCTGTCGCAAATACCTTCGCGAGGTGGGTGGGATCAGTGAGAGGGTCATTCGAGGGATGGAGCCCGGTATTCCTGATGAAGGAGAGAAGATGGAAGATGTCAATGAGACGGGCACTGAGCTTTTGGATGACATGGTTGCTGATGGTCCTACTACGGGTGCGTCTTCTGCTCGTGGTGGGGAAGCTTAGAGTTATATGCTAGTTTGTTAGGATAGTTAACCCCTCTGGTGGGTGGAACACTTAGTTTATTTTTATCTTTGACGTAGATGGGTGTGTCCACTACTATTTCGTTTGAATTTTCTTCCTTGTTTGACATTTGAAGTTTGATATCTTGATTTATTTATTTTGACATTGTCAAGAGTTTTATGCGTTGCTTATATGTATTTACATTTAGCATTGTACGCGATGTACTTGAGGAAGGGATCAGTCTCCCAAGGTTTTTGTTAAGGGTCGTGCCCTTTGTTCGGACCACGTGGGTCTTTAAGTATGTTAAGTCCGTCACCTGAGGTAGTGTGGTAAACGAGCTAGGAGAGCAAAACGTATCAATAGCTTGCCAATTTGATGATCCTGAGGTCCCTGCGAAATTAACACACGTGAACTAAGCCGGGGGTAGATGCGGCGGAAACCCCTCCAACGCTCAAGTCAGATGTACGCATCGTGGAGATGGTAAAGAGAATAAGCACTCTAGAATACTTGTGAATAATAGAACGTACCTTAACAAATGAGTAAAAACCTCTATTTATATGTCGTTGATTGGGTTGGGTTTACTTTGTTGGGCCCAAGCCTTATTTTGAAGGTGTTTCGGCTTTCGTGTAACGGGCTCAGTTGGGCCTTCGTGTTGTGGGCCCGATTATTATATAAATTGGGGGCCCATTGGGTCAGACCAATTAGGTATATCAATATACACGTGTGTGTGTGGTGAGTGTTAACTTTATAAAGGTGTGAATGATTTTTTTTATTTTTTTTTCTTTTTTATGTTTGTTTCTTCCGGTAAAATTGTAGGAGGGGTTTATATCTAAAAGAAAATACAAGGATAGTTTAGGTAATAGAAAAGTTCGGCGGTTTGACCCATTAAAGATAAAGTAGAGTGTTTAGTTCTATATTTTTCCTAATGAGGGGGTCTGCCTCATTAACCCCTCTTTTTTTTCTTGGAATCGCCTGTGCATCTCAATTTTTTTCCCAAAAAAACATGAAGAAGATTAATTAGGCATGTGCAGAATAATTCACCAATGACAACCACTCTAGTACAACGCTTTTGGGGGCTAACACCGGCCATTGATTTTTATTTTATTTTTTTCTTTTTTTTCCGTCGTTGAGCTGCGTTGATTTTTTTGATTTTTTTTTTATTGTTTTTATGATATTATATATTTTTCCCGATGGTTACCGGTTTTTTTTTCTTCTAAAATTATATTTTTCCACTACTCAATAATTTAAATAAAAATCAAGAAGAAATAAAAAGTTAACGAAATTAACCCGACATTCAACATCAGTCAACGTAGGGAAAAAAGTCAATCAGAGAAAGAGTCAACCCAGTTAAAAAGAAAGTCAACGTCGGATTAACCGGTTTTGAAAAATTGTGGTCATTGGTTAAAATTGAGTAATTTATGAAATTAGGGTTAAATTATAATTGGATAAAATTTTAGGGATCTTTAGAATGTTTTGAAAGAATAAAACCGACGGAGGGACTCAATGTGTTAAAAATGTGACAACATTAGGGTGTATTTTGTGAACCTGAAAAAACCGATAAATAGTGATTTTCATTAAACATGATCAAAGTATTACAACTTAAATACAAAATTAATTAACAAGCTTATTCTAATTTCGAGGAAATCTAACCCAGTGCTAACACCTAACTAAGTAGCGTAGAATCACGGTATACTATTTTAACTAATTATTTTACTAAACTAATATTATTGTTTAATTAGAGAAAAATAATAAATATAATATTTTAACACCCTCCCTTAAACTGATTTATGCGGAAAACAATTTACAATAAGAATTATTCTTCTTCTTCGATATATTTCTTTCGTCTTTTCCGAAAGAACATTTATTAATTTTCAGACACCAAGAGCAAACGCCTTAAACAAACACCCTCAATTTGGACGAACGCAATTTTTCGAATGTCTCCGTCAATCTTCACTAATTGACACTCCATCCATCCGACACGAGAACTCCTAATTTCTTTGCGAAAGAAATACATTAGCTTATGCTAATCCAACACTTCTACTTCAATGAAGTATTCCGCCATATTCTAGTATTAAAAATAGACACATCAGTTGCGGGTGATTCAACCTCACTCTTAAGGCAACATTCATGCTCTCGTTGTACCAAATCGCCTTGAAGACTTCACTTATCTTTTGTTTACCAAGATTTTTCCAACCAATGATATTGCATTCAACACCAACGAATTCAAAGAACTATAGGCAGCAAACTGCCCATATGTGTTCCCGAACAAGTATTAACAAATTTCTTCAAAAGACAAAAGTTTCACTGAGCACCTCACTTGGTGACCCCATTCTTCGAAATCGTCGAACTCCATATCGCCAAATCATTATCATGATCATTTCTATTAAGATTCCAACATTCCTTCACCTCGTCTCTCTTTTTTATTTTGTTCAAGATTTTTGTCTCCCTTCAAGACTTTCTTGAACGGCATTCCATGCCGAAAATTAATTAACAAACAATTATACTAATTTCGGTGAACACTAACCCACTACTAAAAACAAATTAAGTATCCTACAATCACGGAATACTATTTTTGACTAATTATTTTACTAAACTAATATTAATAATTTAATTAAAAAAACAATAAATCTAATATTTTAACACACCACACAGTAAATGTGGGACCATAAGTGAAAAATGTGCAAACTTGGATGACCAAAATGTAATTATTCCAAATTTGAAATATTAAAGTATTCTCTTGATGTTTGCTTATATTTGCAAATAGGGTATCCCGCAGGTTGTGTTTGTAATACAAAAGCAAACCTCAAGGCGATAATCAATTAATTGTAATAATTTGGGAAGTTAATTAGCTGAGTTTTTTTCATAATTAGATTAAATCCCATGTATAGTTAGTTATATGATAATTTATCCCATACTCAATCCAAACATAACAAGTTTGATCAGGTATTCAGGTGTGTGGGCCCCACCAAATCTAACAACGAGAGTCTCGTGCCATTGATATTCCTATTGTCTGAACTCTTAAAGTTGAAGAAATTAAAATCCATTTCTTTGGTGAAAGTTCTAAGAGAATAAATTATCTCCAAGGTAAGTGATTGAGAATGCAGCTTCTAAATGTGTAGAACTATTGCTTTTTCAGACAGTAGTGTAATAACTGATGTCGAAAAAGCAACAAACGAAATAGAATAAAGAGAAAAAGGAGAGAAAGAGTAAAGGAGTTTAAAATTATGTATCCGAGAATAAGTGTGAGCTTAAACAACAATCTTATTAACCATCACTTCCATATATATACACATACATATGGGATTCAAACAGACTTCTAATCATCTAGTTTTTTTTCTTACCGAGTAAAAATAGCTTGAGGAAATATGACAAGAAATTCAGGTAAGGATATGTATATAATATGTACTCCTAGTACTGTTTCTTCATGCATTTACATCATAAACTTTACTTATGTTGACGTTTGGCAGTATGCACTAGTAGAAAAATAGTTTTTTACTACGACCACTAACCGTAGCAAAAGGTATCAAATTCGCAGTAAAAAGATTTTTTCTACGTATTTGTTACGTATTTGTCCCGTAGCATATACGGGCGTGGCAAAAACTCTGCTAGCAAATTTTTTTTGCTACCGTAAATCATAGCATTTACAACGACTCGAAGATTGTCTCGTAGTAAAAGGTACCTTTTGTACGAATTTTTACCTTAGTAAAAAAATTTGTCGTAGTAAAAAGTTATTTTTCTACTAGTAATGTTTTTTTACATCATCCTTATTGTCTCATAATTTTCGGACCATCGTTCCTTTTTTACATCACCTTATGAACAGGCGACGAAAACAAAGTTGGAGGACTCGGAATTGTTCCGGAGACACTCACGGAGGACAACTACGAGCACTGGAAAAGGTGTCTGAAAACCTATTTGGTGGGTCATGGCTTATGGGGTGTTGTGTCCGGAAAGGAATCCGAACCGGACAAAGAGAATAACCAAGAACACGACGAGTGGGAGAAGAAAAATGCTTTGGCTCTACATGCCATTCAAATTTCTTGCGGATCGGGTATATATGCTAAGTTTGATAAGGCGCACGTTTCGGCGCATTATGCGTGGACTCATCTTGCTGAGAGGGCATTCGGACATAAAGAACGTCAAGTCGAGGATCATAATGGTAAGTTTCCATCTTTCCTTGTCCTTGGACTTTTTACATTGTAATAATTTGATCGAGTTCGTTAATCGTTATCTATAATTCTATTTAAGCATCTCCGATTCTATACATCCGGTACAAACTAGGAAGTAATTTAAGGGTGAAAGATCGAATGGAATTTCCGATTTCTGCCAGTGCTGATCCGAAAAATTCCAATTAAGGAACAAACTTTTCATTCCGACTTCCGAAATTAGGATTTTCAATTTTTTTTTCAATTTGTTTTGGATGGGAAATTGGGATTAGACATAAAATATTTGGAATTTTCGATTTCCCATCCTATTTAGTTTCCGAAATTAATTAAAAAATTGATTTATTTCCTAAAAATAAACTTATAAGCACCACACACACACAAATAAATGTAAAATGGATTAAGTATTTAATTATACTTTTACTTTACGCATTTGGAGAAAATTTGATTGAAGTTTTGTTAGTAGATTTCGACACATTAAACTGTTAGAAAAATTATGGGATATTATGTCGTGGTTTGTCATATTATCTATGAATTTACGTTATATATTTCGACTATCTTTTATAACATAATTATATATGATATTAGTCATATTTGTTCAAAGTTGCATTTGGTACTTATTGTTGATCGATTTTGGAACAACTATGGTATTTACTATGGAGTTTCTTTTTCGTGTTTCGACTTTTATCATGCAGCTTTGAAATTTTGTGGTATTTGATAATCGGTGCCTAGTGCAATTGGAATTCTTATAGTTATTTTTAGAATATTAGAATTTATCCCATTATTATTTATAAGTTTTATCAGAATGGTTGTTCTTATTTTGAAAATTTATGAAAGTTTCCGAATTTTTTTGAAACTCCTTAAAAAATTTAATACTCATGTGACAAATTTTCAAAACTCAGAAATTTCCGACAATTTTGGAATGAGAATGAATTTCTAGATTCCGAAAATTTTGGAATTGAAATGAATCAATTTTGTACTTTCGAAAAACGTTGAAAATTTTCCGAAAAGATTAATTTCAATTCGTTCCATCCTCTTTGTCCGCAGGGACCAAAGAGTACCTTAAATACGAGGACTTGTACAAGGCAATCGAAGAAGGCAATTGGCATAAAACACAAGACTTGATGAAGCAAACTCGGGGGGCATTTAAGGCAAGGGTGTCTTCCCATAACGATACGCCCCTTCACATTGCAATTTTGTGTGGGCACTTAAAGATTGCAGAGCATTTGGTAGGTATGATAGAACCTTCTGACTTGGGTTTGATAAATGAATACGGCGCGACCGCACTTTCTCTTGCTGCTGTCTGTGGTGCGACAAAGTTGGCAAAGATGATGGTAATTAAAAATACAAATTTAGTGACAATGTCGAATGATCATGAAGATGGACAACTACCTGTGGTTGTGGCTGCTTTTTACGGACAAAAGAATATGGTCCGTTATCTTTATAAAGTGACACCTAAATATGAGCTGAGTCCGGAAAAGGGTGAGAATGGGGTGAAGCTTCTTAACTGTCTCATTACCGATGAAATCTACGGTAAAAAGAAAAAATAAAAATAAAAGCAACGTGTGTTTCAATTTTTGTTTAATTTTTATTTTGTTGCACTTTTTTGTTCATAAATAAACTTGGATACTTCTACTTGCCGTAGATGTCGCGTTGTTGCTACTAAAACAGTATCCAAAACTAGGAGTTACACCGGATCGTAGCGGCAACTATGCTCTCAAAATATTGGCTCACAAACCTTCAGCCTTCCTTAGTGGGTCGAAGTTTGCATTTTGGGAGAAATGGATCTATGATTGTAAGTTTTTCTTTTTATTATGTGTTGATAATATTGCATTTTGTATTTTGTGGCTGAAAATATATGCAATTTTTTTTTTCTGTGTTCCTAGGTGTGATAATTCATACTCATTGGGACACACAACAGAAGTTTCGTAGAGAAGAACACATGGAAACCGAAACAGTGAGTGTTGACCAGAGAATCCAGATTCATGACTCAAGCGACGAAGAATTCGAAAAAAGGCGACACATCCATCTCCAATGTAAATATTACATGTTTATTTGAACTAATATATTAAATGGAATTTGAAATGAATCACGTCATGTGAACATAAGAAACTCATTCTTTCATTTTCCTACAACTGTTATGAATAATTTTTTATGCCTAATTAGTTCAAATGACTCGTATGCAGTTCACAACGTATTCCACAAACTCGGTTGGGGCATTTTACAATGCTTAGGTATGTCTACGCTACTTGTTTTATTTATATGCTAAGATATGAAATATTATGAACACAAGTTAACCAATCCTCATTAGGAGAGTTAGTACCTAAACTTTAGTACTATTAGAGTAGATGTCTTGTTCGACTCCTGTCCCTCTCCAGTTTGTAACATGATTTTATTATTAAAAATAAATAAAAAGGTTGTGAGCACAAGTTGTATATATCACAATTCATTTACACATATTCTTCTTTATCTTAAATTAGTACCAGAGATAAAATCAATCCATCACAAGAAGTTGGTACACCACGAGGCCGTGGAGCTCCTGAGATGCATCTTTCAGGAGATGCGAATGTTGACCAATGCAGATCTCGAAAAGATGGATATCGACACAATAATTTACGACGCTATAAAACATGGCATACTTGAATTCATACGTGAAATACTCAAATACAAGCCCGATATTGTGTGGAAGAAAGATAAGAAAGGAAGAACAATCTTCGCGCACGCAATTGTCTTACGTCAAGAGAAGATATTCAGCCTTATATACAGTTTAGGAACAAAGAGGAGCATCATGGCTCGCAGGCACGACGTCTTCAGGAATAATTATTTGCATCTTGCGGCAAAGTTATCTCCCCCTTCTCAACTAGAGCGTGTTTCCGGGGCAGCCCTGCAAATGCAAAGGGAACTGCAATGGTTTAAGGTAAGCATATTACTATATAGTCCCTACTCTACTTGATGTTTATGTAAGTCCTTTTTGTGTTTTCTATATTTGATTGGTTTAAAATTTCTCATAACATTTCTAATAATATTTGATCTTTTTCAGAAATTACATCCAACCACTTGTAGTTTGTAATTTTTTTTACATTGACCCTCTTAGAAAATGGTGTTAATGTAAGAAATTTATAAATTGAAAAATGAATCTTACATCAGGGGCGGTCGTAATTTACCTTAAAACAATATAAAAAAATATATATTGAATAGTGATAAAAGAAAATGAAAATCGAAAACATGTCATACAGGAAGTGGAGGGCATTGTTCAACCAAAGCTGAAAGAAGAATCGAACGAGAACAACAAAACCCCAGAAGTCCTTTTCAGCGACGAGCACAAGCAGTTGATCAGCGACGCAGAGAGTTGGATGAAGAACACCGCAGGATCGAGCATGATTGTAGGGACGCTAATCGCTGCAGTCATGTTCACAACCGCCTTCACAGTGCCAGGTGGCAATAAAAACGACTCCGGCCTGCCAACAATGCTCGAGACAAAACCGGGCCCGTTCTTGATTTTCATGGTCTCGAATGCGCTGTCCATGTTCAGTTCCTCGACTTCTCTGCTCATGTTCTTGGGAATTCTCACCGCAAGATTTGCGGAACGGGATTTGTTAATCTGATGATTATCAGATTAGAAGAAGAGAACGAAGGAGTTGGAGAGAAGAGGGAAATTGTTATTCATCCAACAGAAATATAAAATGTTACCGTTACAAGATAGATGAATTGAGTATTTATACCCAATCACATAAAAGCGTGTTTGTAACTAAAAGCAAGAAGTGCTATTTGTAAAATAACAACTTCTATATGAAAGTAAAACTATACCTACGTTTATCAATCTAAGATATATTGACATATATATATATATATATATTTACACCCCCCCTCAAGATGGAGAGTAAACATCCTTAACTCCCATCTTGACCAGAAGATAGTTGAAACTTGAAGAAGGTAAAGCCTTGGTGAACAAATCGGCCAATTGATCTTTGCTTGAAACTGGCATGAGTTTTAAAATGCCAGACACAACTCTTTGTCTCACACAATGGCAGTCAATTTCGATGTGCTTAGTCCTTTCATGAAATGTTGGATTGGAAGCAATGTGCACAGCAGCAAGATTATCACAGAACAGAAGAGATGACTTAATAGGTATATGGAAATCCTGAAGAAGTTGAAGAATCCAGATGAGCTCACTGGAAGTCATGGATAAAGCCCTGTACTTAGCTTCTGCAGAACTCTTGGACACAGTAGCTTGCTTCTTTGCTTTCCAAGATATGAGAGAATCACCAATGAAGACACAAAATCCTGTGGTGGACTTCCTAGTGTCTGGACATGAGCCCCAATCTGCATCTGCAAAAGCTTTAACAGTGAGAGAGGACTTTGCAGAATAAAAAATGCCCTTACCAGGAGAAGACTTGAGATATCTCAAGATGTGATGAATGGCATGAAGATGAGGCACCCTAGGCTTTGAAACATATTGACTGAGCTTATGCACAGCATAAGTAATATCTGGCCTTGTAATGGTGAGATAAATAAGCCTACCAACCAGTCTTCTATACTCAGATCCATCCTCAAGCAGATCACCATCTTCATTATTGAGCTGTGCTTTGGGATCCATGGGCAGCAAAGCAGGCTTACAGCCCAAATAACCAGCATCCTCCAATAGCTTAAGAACATACTGCCTTTGAGAGAGAGCAATGCCAGTAGAATTCCTAGCTATCTCAATACCAAGAAAAAACTTTAGCTTTCCCAAATCCTTAAGTTTGAAAAATGAGTGCAGCTCATTTTTAACTATCTGTATCTCAGTGGAAGAAGGCCCTGCAATAATCATATCATCCACATACACAATTAAAGCAATAAACTGAGAAGAAGAACCTCTAGTAAACAAAGAATGATCAGATGGAGACTGAGAAAACCCAATAGAAGTTACTGCCTCAGTGAACTTTTGATTCCACTGCCTTGAAGCCTGTTTTAAACCATACAAAGACTTGTGCAACTTGCAAACCATTCTAGTATTAGACAAAGCAACAGAAGAATGCTTATAGCCTGGAGGAATATCCATAAAAACTTCTTCCTTAAGATCCCCATTCAAAAAAGCATTATTTACATCCAATTGGTGAAGCTCCCAATTATGAATGGCAGCTAAAGCCAAAAGAATTTTAACAGTGACTAACTTAGCAACAGGTGAAAAAGTATCAATAAAATCTACCCCTTCTTGTTGAGTAAAACCTCTAGCAACTAGTCTTGCCTTATATCTATCTACAGAGCCATCTTGCTTTCTTTTAATCTTATACACCCATTTACAACTTACAGTGTGTTTATGAGCAGGTAATGGCTCTATAGTCCAAGTATGATTAGCTTCCAATGCTTGAAGCTCAGCATCCATGGCTTGGATCCACAAAGGATTCTTCACAGCTTGTTTATAAGTGGAGGGTTCAGTGTCAGCTGAAACATTCATGATATAAGCAAAATGATCTGCAGAAAGCTTATTATAAGCTACATGACTAGAAATAGGATAAAGTGAAGTAAAACCAATAGAAGAATTGCACTGAAAATCAGCCAAATAGGCAGGGGGCTTAGTGGCTCTGGAAGACTTTCTAGTATGAGGAGGAGCTGAACCATTAACCTGTGGAGTAACAGAACTAGGAAGATAATCAACATCAAGAGCAGAGTCAGCAGATTCAGTAGAAATAGGCACAACAGAAGGTGGAACAGAATAATCAGGAGCTAAATACTTTTCAAAATTCATATTTTGATCCCCAAAAGGAAAAATGTGTTCATGAAAAACAACATCCCTAGAAATAATGACTTGATGAGATTGCAAATCATACAGCTTGTATCCCTTGATGCCAACAGGATACCCCAATAAAACACAAGGTATAGCTCTAGGCTGAAATTTTGACCTCTGAGCTGGTAAGGATGAAGCAAACACTAAACATCCAAAAACCCTGAGAGAATGATAATCAAACATCTTACCAGGATACAGCAGCTCAAAAGGAGAGACATTACCAAGCTTAGCTGCAGGAGTTCTATTGATCAAGAAAACTGCAGTAGAAATACACTCATTCCAAAAAGTGATAGGCATATGAGATTGAAACAGTAAAGATCTGGCAACATTAAGAATGTGTTGATGCTTTCTCTCAACTACAGCATTCTGTTGAGGTGTATAAACACAAGAAAACTGATGAAGAACACCAAGTTTAGCAAAAAGCTGAGTAAATTGCAGCTCATGGGCATTATCAGACCTGAACACCTTAATTGGACAATTAAATTGAGTCTTAATCATATGGAAAAAAGAAGGAATGACAGTTAAAACATCAGATTTGGATTTAAGAAAATGAACCCAAGTAAACCTAGAATAATCATCAACAAGAGTAACAAAATACTTGTAACCATTGTGAGACTCAACTCTGTAAGGCCCCCAAATATCACAATGAATAAGATCAAACATATGTGAAGAAACAGTAGAACTAATAGGAAATTTTAAACGTTTTTGTTTTGCCATAGGGCAAATATAACAACAAGAATTGTTCTTAGGCTTATCTATGCCTAAAGAAAACTTAGTAGACAAATGATCTAGCTTCAACTGAGGGATATGCCCAAGTCTATTGTGCCAAACATTGGCAGAAACTTTATTACAAAAAACATCAACAGAGCCAATGTGAGGCTGAAGCACATATAAACCATCAATTTTGCTACCCTTGCCAATCTTCTTCAAGAACTTGTCCTGAATAAGAAAGGAATTAGAATCAAAAATAACTGTGTGAGGTAAATTGTCAAGCAAAGCACTGACAGAGATTAAATTAAACTTAAAAGAAGGAACATAAAAAACATTTTTCAAGATCAGATCATCTGACAAACATACATCTCCCATATATTCAACAACAACCAAGGAACAGTCTGGTAATATGACTCTAGCAAAATTGACTTTATGAAGAGAGGAAAATAGAGCTTTATCATTACAAATATGGCGAGAAGCCCCAGAATCAATTATCCAATAATGAGGTTTAAATGATGCATGAAGAGAAGCTGCTAAGCATATACCTGACACACAAGAAATGTGTGCAGCTTCAACCTCATCACCTAGAGACTGCTGAGCAGGAACCTGTTTCTTGGCAGCCATTTGATTTGAAAAGTATGCCATCAATTGCTGGCATTGAGTTGGAGGCAAAGAGGAATATCTTGGTTTAGCTTTATAACCGGGCGGATATCCATGTAATTTGTAACACTTATCAATTGTATGCCCATAAATGCTGCAGTGAGTACAGAAACCCCTTTCCTTCCTCTTAGGTGCAGAGTTAAAGTTGGCATGATTATGCACAGATCTCTGTGTATTCTGATCACCACGAATTGAAAAAGCTAGTGAATTCTGCACCTCATTATGTGAAGAATGAATAGACCTCTGCCTCTCTTCTTGAGAAACAAGAGCAAAAACCTTGTTGATAGGAGGCAGTGGATCCATGAGAAGAATTTGACCACGTGTGGAAGTCAAAGACTCATTCAACCCCATGAGAAAAGCCATCACATGTTCTAGGTTGTAATGTTCATTAAGCTTCTGAACACCACCACACGTGCAGGCTCCACAAGTACAAGATGGCCGAAAATTGGACAATTCATCCCAAATAGCCTTCAATTTTGTAAAATACACATTGACAGACTGCGTATCTTGAGTAAGATTAGTCAATTCCCGACGTAATTGGAAAATGCGCGGACCATTAGTTTGTGAAAATCTGGTATTTAGATCCTTCCACATCTCGTGAGCGGAATCAGAATACATGATGCTGGCCTGAATATCTTTGGACACAACATTCAAAATCCACGAGATAACAATACTGTTATTTCGAACCCAGGCATTGTGAAGAACCGCTTCTTCCCTACTCGGTTCAACGATTGTACCATTGATGAACCCTAACTTGTTCTTCACCGTGAGTGAAATCTGCATCGCGCGACTCCAAGAGGCAAAGTTATCTTCAGAGAGTAGCTGCGAAACGAGAACTAACCCTGGACCATCAGATGGATGCAGATAGAACGGACTGGAAACATCATCAACTCGCCGATTTGCCGCCATGGTTGCGAGAAATCAAAACTCAGAAATGACCGAATGGATGAACAATTGAAGAAATTGATCGCGATCTGATCAATTAATGAACATGCGGAAGCGAAAAAAATCAAAAAAACCTAAACTGATACCATGTTAATCTGATGATTATCAGATTAGAAGAAGAGAACGAAGGAGTTGGAGAGAAGAGGGAAATTGTTATTCATCCAACAGAAATATAAAATGTTACCGTTACAAGATAGATGAATTGAGTATTTATACCCAATCACATAAAAGCGTGTTTGTAACTAAAAGCAAGAAGTGCTATTTGTAAAATAACAACTTCTATATGAAAGTAAAACTATACCTACGTTTATCAATCTAAGATATATTGACATATATATATATATATATATATATATATATATATATATATATATATATATATATATATATATATATATATATATATATATATATATATATATATATATATATATATATATATATATATATATATATATATATATATATATATATATATATATATATATATATATATATATATATTTACAGGATTTCCTCAGGTCGTTGCCGACGAAGCTGATTTTGGGGCTCACGTGCTTGTTCTTCTCCATAGTTACGATGATGGCTTCTTTCGGGTCGGCATTGTATATGATTTTGCATGACCAGTTGGCTTGGGTTACTGTTCCGATTATCGTTCTTTCTGTGATTCCGATTGCTCTTTTCTCGGTTTTGCAGTTTCCTCTGTTGATTGAAATGACTGTTCGTACGTACGGGTCTGGGATTTGTGACAAGCCTAAGAGAAATATCATTGTCCGTAGGTGTTTTTAAATTACTTGTCTCGTTTCACATGTTAGATTTGTATGTGATTTAAAATTTCACGCGACAATAATTTTGTAAACACCACGTATGTTGTTTTATGGGGAAATTAAAGTATGCCAACATTTTTATTTTAGAGGTATTTTATAACAAAAATACCCTCTTCAATGGGTCATTTTCTTTCTTTCTCTCTCTCTTTTTTTTTTCTCCTCATTATTATTATTACTTTTTTTTAATAAAATAGTTTTTAAGAATCTATGATGAGGTTCACTTTGTTCAAATAAAAATATTTGTTCAATTTTGTTAGGGCATCTCCAAAGTTGAGAGGTAAATACATAGAGGCTATATCTATTATACGTTATGAACAATGTTTTATTATCTCTATTTTTACTCACCTACTCCAATCATATAATCTATATTTTAGCATTCTGTTATATTCAATTATTTTTTAACTGTTCTACTATAGTAAATATGTGAATTAATTTATTGTATTATAAATAATTTTCTCCTCTGCATTCTCCCGTGCTCTCAGCCGTAGGTTTTTTTTTTCTCCCTCCAATTTTTCATTCATCATTCTCGCTTGTTGCAATCATAAATCAAAATATTGAAAATTTTCTCTCAAACATATACAATTCAGATATTCAATGGCTCACTTCATTAACATTTTTTTGCATAATCCCCAAGATTTTGATGATGATGATGATGATATAAATTTTGTTGCCATAGATGCCGTTTTAGAAGCTGAAGAAAATGCTATACAACAGCGACAATTACGACGATGTAGGTCTATTCTTGGTCATTCTACAATTCACTGTGATAGAAAAAGAGGCCACGACAACCTTTGTATCCTGACTACTTATTTCGTAGAGATTTCGTATGACTCGTAATTTATGTATCCAAATCCAATCTAAGATTGAAGCTCACGATAGCTACTTCTTGGAACAAAAACGATGCTTGTGGAAATCTCGGCTTGTCCTCTCTTCAAAAGATAACGGCTGCAATGCGAATGCTTGCTTATGGAGCTTCAGTAGATGACTATGTACGTGGACAAAGTACGTCCATATATAGAGAGTCTCAAAAGGTTTATATTGGCCGCTATTGCACTTTTTTTCTAAAGAATATAGAAGATCACCAACAGATAATGATATTATACGATTGTTAGCGGTTGGTGAAAACCGTGAATTTCCTAGGATGCTGGGAAATAAGATTATATGCAATGGGAATGGAAGAATTGTCCTACTGCGTGGCAAGGAATGTATACCGGGCATATTCATGAGCCAACAATTATTCTTGAAACAGTGGCTTCATATAATCTTTGGATATCATTCATTCTTTAGGTTGACAGGAGCACTTAATGATATCAACGTTTTAGATCAATCTCCTATATCTGTTATATACTAAATTAATGGACACAATTATGAAATAGAATACTACTTAGCTGATGGAATATATCCGACATGGGCAATGTTTGTGAAAACAATTCCAAGTCCTAGAGATAATAAGCAAAAATTATTTGTGAGATCTCAAGAGTCAGCTAGGAAAGATGTCGAACGAGCTTTTGGAGTTCTGCAATCAATTGGGCTATAGTGTGAGGCCCTGCCGGATTCTGGGATAGGAAAACTCTTGCAAATATTATAGAGTCGTGTGTAATAATGCACAATATGATTATTGAAGATGAAACAGGTTCTTACAATGCCGAAGGTGATTTTGATTCAAGTTCAAAACTTGTATCGTCACGGGATCAAACACCAAATATTATGAAGATTCTTGAAATTCATAGTCGCGTCAGAAATAAACAAACTTATTGTTAGATCCAATCAGACCTCGTTCAATATTTGTGGCAAAATATGAAGGAGAATAAAATTCTCTCTCTCTCTCTCTCTCTCTCTCTCTCTCTCTCTCTCTCTCTCTCTCTCTCTCTCTCTCTCTCTCTCTCTCTCTCTCTCTCTCTCTCTCTCTCTCTCTCTCTCTCTCTCTATATATATATATATATATATATATATATATATATATATATATATATATACTCTCTCTATATATATATATATATATGTGTGTGTGTGTGTGTGTGAGTGTGTGTTTTTTTTTTTAAATTAGTATGTTGCAGTTAATAATGGTAGTATTATTATTTTCTTTGTTGTCATTTCAAACTTTTGTCTTGTTTTGATGACTTATTCCAGTACAGTAGTGTGATTGATTTCATATACAGTAGTTGTCATATTCAAAGTTTATTCCATTGTAGTAGTTGTCTACAAAATTATGTATCTCGTAAGTATATATATATATATATATATATATATATATATATATATATATATATATATATATATCTTTTATTATTATTAATTTTTTAAAGTTCATACAAACAACAAAATTATAAGGATCATCATACATACATATCAAATTAGACATTCATACACTATTTTTTAACAATATTTTTTCTTGAAGCTTCTAGAAATATAATGCTCTTGTCTCATCAATGTCACTAGTAACTTGTTAGAGTAGGTGACCAACAAGCCAACTTGTGGCTGTGGTCTTTCCATTTATTATTGTAATAAACAAACCTTTTTCGTATTAATGATAAAACACCTTGGCATTCTATATCTTTGTCCCTTTAATTTGTCACAAGCATAGATATAGTCCTTACAGTTATTAAAAAACTGGTAATTGATCGTTAGGATCGTGAGATATTTACTTTAGAATTATAACTGTTAAACGTGTTCCTAGTCGAAGGGTTACGCCACCAATGAGGATATCGGCATTTCCCATTAAGAGACTAGCACTTATTGTATGTGTACTGCATCTCATCAGTAAACGGTATTGTGATATCGGCATGCATAAGTGGGTGCTCGTAAGTTGTCGAGTTCACTGAACACCCTAGAAATCTCTAAGTGGTTCTCAATAATCGAGTAGAGATATCTAGGGTATAGTTGTACACCATTAGTTCTTATGACCTAGACATTACCGTGACTTGACTAGAGGACCAGCTGTATCGTGACCTGTCCCTAAGATCCACCGAGGACCACCCCAAGGGCCAGTGTTCGTGCAGTCCAAAATCTAGTGGGAGGTCTGTGCATTGTAGTCGGGGATTCGATCGCTAGAATATTCTTGGATGTCCTGTGTGTTCTCATAGTTTGAAATCTCTAAGTCTCTGGCTAGAGCTGACTAAGTGATGATTAGAGAATTCGATTCTCTAAGACATGCACGTAACGATTACAACACTTAGAACGATAGCACAGTCATTGAACTACTAAGGAGGTCTCGATGAACCAATGCCTCTAGTTCAATCGGGGCATATGAATCGAAGGGATCGTACTGTACGCTAACTATACCAAAAGGTTCTTGCAGGCACTTCATTTGTATCTAAGGAATCATGACGCGTAGTTGCTAGACGCCAATCTTGATTCGTTGGGTGATTAAGGTGAAACAAGCTTCATCTTAATCGTAACTCTAAGGGACGAGTTTTTACCACAAAGGGTTGTGGGCCCACGGCTAGCTTACACCTAAACCATCGAGGGTCACACTGCTCGTGCACATCAGATCTTTGAATGAACGGTCAAAGGTAAAAATGTTTTATCTTTGCATGATTGGAAGTCAATATGATTGGGTCCAACATTCGTAATTTGGAATTATGAATGAGAATAAGAAAATGAAAAGAATAGGCGAACATCTTAGTGGACTTTCTAAATCGGGAAGTTTCTAAATTTAGAAAGTGCACTTAATTAGAGTTTCCACTTTTAGAAAGTTAAAAATTGAAAATTAGCACTCGTAATGACGAGGACATTGTAATGATTCCAAAAATGTAATTGTTACAATTTTCCGATCATCGAATTGAGAGCGACGAGCGAGTAAAAGAACTAACGAATTTAAGCTGTTGGGTCCGGTCCAACTAAAGCCCGTTAGGGTTTTATACAAGACACTATAAATACTTGATGTATAGGTCTTGCACAACAACACAACAAACACACGAAACCCTAGCCGCTCCCTCTTCCCCGCGGCCACCACCGTCGCCGTCGCCGTCCACTCGCCGGAATCGGCCTCCCCTTGACCGATTAATTCGTGGTAGTTCTTTTCTTTGTTTTTTCTTTCTGTTTATTCTAACTACTGCGTGTCTAATGCCACGTTTTAGTAGATCGAAGTATACGAGGTGAATTCCGAGAGGAGAAAGATCGAAGAATCGAGGAGCTGCCCTACGCCGTCGCCGCCACCGGTTGCACCGCCGCTCACGCCGCCGTCGCCGACGTTCGCCGCCGCTGCTCCCGGATTGCACGGATTGGTTTCCGTGGCAATCTTGCTTCGACTTGTGCGCCTACCTCACGCTACAAGAGGTAATAATTTGAATCTTAATTTATTCGATTCGTTTTCATTGAAATTAAATATGCATGTTCGTTTAGTAAGTATGTTGTATGATTTTATGTGACTATATGAAATTGATTATTTACTGCGAACATGATTATTTGATTTAATGCGAGCATGCTAGTTGATTTAATTTCGATTAAATAAATTTGCATGTATGTTTGTTTTAAATTTCGCTGGAAGCGCAAAGGTACGCAACTAATTGTTTAATATATGTCGGGCATGTGATTATGTGATTTAAACTTGTTTAATTCGCATAATATTTTTGTTTTCCGCTGCGTACACGTGTCCAATTCCCAACACAACTGTCATCATTATCATGTCTTCTCTTTTTTTATTCTCAAGTTCAATGTATTCTTCCTGAATACGTATCTAGTTTTCCGACATTTCTCATTTTCTACATTCGTTGTCTGCATACTCATTTTTCCATGACTCTAAAATCGTAGCATCACTCAAATCTGGAACATGTTCTTTGTCTTTTTTCTTTTTAAGCTTTTTATTTGCACTTTTAGTGCCGGTTGGTCTCTTAGATTCATTGTTTTCTGAGTTATCATCACCAAGAGTAACGCTATCAGGAGTCGCATGAGAAGAACTAGCAGGACTTGCCCAAATGTGGTTTTTTGATGGCTTATTGGAACGCTGACTTGAACTAGAAGATGTCTAATTTAGTTCATTTTTTAATACATTCCAACAATGAAGAAACTAGAAATTTCTGTTCCCGGATAG